AATGTACCCAAGCTTGCAAGCAATGAAATTGATAAGGGCATGTAAGAAGATTGTAGTAATCTTTTCTACGTCCACCTAGTGACACTAATGAAGAGATATAAATAGTATAAGACAATACGACTTGTCCAAGAATGAGTATAGAAGGCATGTTTACAATCAAGTACATGAAGAATGATGAAAGAGACATCATTTCCGTAGCACATTCAAGGTATCTACCAATTGTTGTGGCAAAGACACTATAACATCTCCATGGTCTATAATTGTCCAACATCAGTCAAATGCACTAGCCCTCTATAAACAAGGATAGCTGATACATAATGAAGTACAAATATCCAAAGGGTTGTAGAGTACTCGTTATACATACCACATGCTATTTGCAACAGAAACAAATGAGATACGACAAGTGCAAAATATCTACAATTCGTTATAGAAGAGCTGTCATCCACCCGATGTGTTATCTGCAGGCTATGTTGCACCGATACGGATACGGCGACACGAATACGACACGATACGGATACGGGACACGCCAATTCTTATAAATATAGGATACGGGTACGGCGCGGACACGGAATTATAATTTATAAATCATACATGAAAATTAAGAAAACAATCAAAGCATAATATTTGAAATTAGAAAAAAAAAAAAAGAACAACAACATCATTTGTAGCCTTGTAGCTTATAATATCAAAATATAAGAAAGCATTAAATGTCTAGTACAACAACAAAAGCATAAACATAAATTATATAGCACATGAAGTTTCAACTATTCAATAGAAGGAATGATATGATTAGCTTCTTCATTGGTTTGTCTTTGAACTTTTATATCATCTTCAATAAATATCATAGCTTCTAATTCAGGCTCATCAAGTGAAAGATTAGTAATTTCTAATATTCTCATATTATCAAGACTCTCAAATCCATCTCGGAAATGAGAGAACCTTGCTCGCAGCCCCGGAAGTAAATACGATGCGTCTCTTTTTTATTTCTTTTTGTTTTTCAACGGACACGTGTATCGGATACGCGTGTCCTTTTGAAATTAAATTGTATTTTAATTGGATACGGCTTTGGTGTATCCGACACGTATCGGTGGCGTATCGGAGGCGTATCCGTGTATCAGATACAGCACACCTTCATAAATAGGTGTATCGGTGCAACATAGTCTGCAGGGTAAATACATAAGGGAACTATAGCATATCCGAGCTCTTACAAGATGCAGTAGAAGACCCACTATATACCACATATTATCTACAAGCATTTACAAATGTAAAGCAGGAGATTCGTTAGTGCACTACAATCTACCTGCATAAATCATACAAGTAGTGCACGACAGTCTACCTATACAAGGTAACAAACTCAATCCATAAGCTACTACAACACGCCACCGGATCCGCAACATTCATGCAAACGAACATAAGGCATTTATAAATATTTCAAAATAAATCCCCGCACGTGCACCGTAGTTTATGTACACATAGGTACACAAGGGGTAAGTATAATTATAAACCCGCATGGGCCCCAGCGAGCGTGTTATTAGTACACACGTGAAGTCTAGGGATGCTGCGCGGGTCAATAGGTGAATTCGAGTTCGAACCCGACCCTTCTATGCGGATCAATAGGAGTCGACGGGGTTCGAATCATCAAACAAATATGCACTTGTGGTGAACAGTATATTTGTTTTAATACATTCATATTAGGCTTTCAAGGCCTATAATCAAGAGAATTCACTAATAAATGCATAAAGCCTACGAAACCAGATCCTCCTAAGCAGGTAAATAGGAGTAGACAGGGTCGAACCATTAAATAAATACACGGTTGTGATGACCGGAATATTTGTTTTATACATTCATATTAGGCCTTCAAGGCTTAAAAACAATATGAATTCACTAATAAAGGCACAAAGCCTATGAAACCAGATCCTCTATCAATAAGTTGATAGGGTCGACAAGGTTTAATACAAAAACAAAAATGACCCCCTTCACCCTGATGATGGATGATGGTCGCGTTGAACAGAAAATCTCAACCGGAGGGATCTATTCTAAATAATTCAAAAATTTCATCCCAAATGCCTAAAACTCCACAGAAAATCCAAAATCCAAATGTCCCAAAAAATCATCCAGACCCAGAATATTTAAAATTAAAATCAAATCATCAATCACTCAAAGCAAAATCCATTCATCATCCGCAATAGTTTGCCGAGGTGAACAAAATCGAATATAACTTCAGCTCATACAGAGCTAAATGCCTGGTCGGAAATATCACTAAGATCCATTCTCAAGCAATCTCCTGCCAATAAGGACGTTATACGTGTCCTCTAACCAGCAGTTTTGCCGTCAAATAGCACCACAGGATAAATGATTATGACCCGGGGCCCTCTGAACCGAGTGATTTTGCCGCCAAATGACACCACGAAATATCGGTTATGGCCAAAGTCAATACGTTCCTTATTGGCATCAAATCCTTGAGATATGAATCAATAGGATATAATCGATACGGCATAAAGCCCTCTGTTAGCTAAGGTGGATTCAAATTTGTCTCCTTAGACAAACACTCACCCCAGGTCTACAAGGTCCCCTTGGACGAAGCAACCCATGGCTGCTGACAATGATCCTTCTGTCACGTTGGGTCGACTACCTCCTCTGACTAAGTAGATCAGGGATCACGATGGCTCGGGACGACGGAACTATGGGATCTTGATCGGGTCTATCATTCATTCCCCCACCATCTGCTTTAAGTGAAATATGGTGCAATTTCTATTTTAAATATCAACCCTTCTAAATTTTCAAATCCAAACTCAATTCCCAAATTCAAACTTATGTTGTTACTATATGTCATATACTATGTATCACTACGTATCTGATTGATGACTATCCTTAATCGAAAGTTTTGTCTCGTGATCGGGAGGGCTAATTAACTATAGGGGCTTGCGCCTATAGGAAACCAGAACTCAGATCATAAAGCTCTCGCAAAATGAGGGCGAAATCTCTGGGTAGTGTCTTATCTACAAACCCATCTGCCTTCTAAAATTTACCCCGGAACTTATTCCGTTAAAACTCCCTCGCCGAAGAAAAGCATCAGCGGGCGGAGGCCAGGGCCGAATTTTCGGAGCCTACATGAAGACCGCCATTTTATGTAATTAAACCATCTAAGATGACTATCTCTAATCTGATCTTTTACTGGAGCTACTCCAACCTTTTCATATATATGCTCATTTCGTATCCTGTATTTGAGGTAAAGCCACTCATCCACTCAAGCACCCTCATCTCTTTTAATGGCCAACATTTAACTTAATATTATGCTTCTCTTTTAATGGCCAACATTATGCGCCATAAAGCATTGCAGGTCTCACCACCATCTTATAAAATTTTCCTTTAAGTTTGAGAGGGATTTTTCTATCACACAACAAGCCCGATGCATTCCTTCACGTCAACCATCCAACTTGAATTCTGCTAATAATATCTCCATCTATTTCACCATCACTTTGAACAATAAACCCAAGATATCTAAAATGTGTACTCTTATTAAATTTCTATAAGAATATTTTGACCTACAATAGTCAAATAATATTTCAAGAGTCATTATAAATTTAATTTGTAAACCATCTTTGACATATCATAAATATTGATATGCTTTAATTAAAGAAAATTTTCTTTAATTTTATGGACAGTGTAGATATGAAAACAAGAAGCTTCTTATTTAATTACAATTATGTATGAAATTAACACATGTTGGTACAAGTAGATTTTTTTTGTCCGTAAAATATCTGTTTTACAAATCAATTTCAGTAGAGCCTTCTGAAACATGCTAGGCGATTTTATGGATGTTTTTTTATATAAGTTTTGAATTCCAAGATTTAAAGATATAAAAGGATTTATAAAAATTTTAAGCTAAAAACTAAACAATTAATATAATTACATTTATACCCTCAACATATTTATTGAATCGTGAAAGTCTACAGTTCTCCCAAATTTTCTCCTTGCTGCAATTTCTCTCTTGCAGTCAATCACTTCTTCAGTGTATAGCAGGGCAAAAGAGTTCCCAGATATAATACAAGTAATTGTAAGTGGGGTAAAAGGGACCCCAGATATGATACATGTATAGCAAGTGGGGCAAAAGGGATCCCTAAAAAGGTAAAATGGACATCTATGTAGTTCAATGAAAATAATATTAGGTTTACATGAGCTCTATTGAATATTTTTATAAAAGTTTAGCTAACTCTTTAAAGACTAATATTGATATTCTATATGACTTCAAATGAATGAAAGGATGATTCTTAAAAGATGATTTATGACATTTTGCAAATATTTTTAAGTTACTTCAATTATTTTATTCTTTATAATCTGACATTTAATTTTTACATAAATTGCATAATTTATTGAGCCTCATGACTCACCAATTTTTTTCATATTGTTGTTGTTACAAAAAAAGAAAAGGAAAATGTTCAAGTTATTTCATTTTATATTCTATTATTTAGCTTTGTTTGTGAGTCTACAGCTAAGGTATGCAGACGGTTCAATAGTATACTTCTATTTATGTAGTAAATATAAATGTTAGTGTATGTTTTATACAAGTATTCAGATGATGAAAAATATCATATGTTAAAACTGAAATGTTATGTTTATTTTGTGTCACTCTACAATACTGATAAGTGATATAGTGGGGTGTTACAAAATCATTCCAGACTTGCCAATACAATCTTTTCTATTTTCTATTCGCTTTATCATTTTCTCACCTCTGATCATTTACATTCTTATTTAGTCATCTTTCTATTTATTTTCTACAGCAAGCCATAATTTTAATCCTATCAGTTCATATTGTTCTCCTACATCTGAAATGATATCAATGGTCAACTTCATATGCGGATATACTACATTGTTCAGTACGGTCATAAACAGTTCATATGATTTACTTATGCAGCTACTTAAGATCGTCATGAAAAAAGTATTTATTGTCCAAATCCAGTATAAAAGAAACGTAGTTGCAGAGTTAACCGATATCTTACTCTACCATGTCCTCCAAATTCAAAAGCATCACTATCCAAGGCGACTCTGTACTTTCCAGGCAAGTCACAACCAACTTTGTACCTGAATTTTTTGAATAGGTGTCAGAAATTGAGCTCAAGCTTACAATAACCGAGTATAGTCATAGATAAATTACCCATGGTAGGTTTTCTCTGGATGGAAATTGAACACAAAGACTAAATCTCCACGTTCAAATACAATCACCTGAAACGATATAAGATTGACAAGATTACAAATGAATATAAATCAAGAAAATAAATAACCATATAAAGAACTTTTTGTAGTTTCAGATTAATCCATTGAAATTAAAACCTTTGAATTATTGATCTGAACCTTAATTTTTCTCTTAATTTATGGAAAAAAGAAGGATTATAATTGATTTTAATCATATATCTAGTCCTAGTATTCAGAGATGTGTGCCAGGAGTTAAGAGGGCATCTATGGAATACTACAGATGTAGAATTACATAACTAGAGGGGTGGAGAGAGATAGAGATAGAGAGGGAGAGGTAGAGAGAGAGAGAGAGAGAGAGAGAGAGAGAGAGAGAGAGAGAGAGAGAGAGAGAAAGGCACTCCAAAGAGCACGTGGAGGTTGCCTTAAATAGTTAAATGTACACAACGATGATCATAGTGACTAATTTGTGCATGATTGAAGTTGTGCCAAGTGCGATCCATGTCTGATAATTTTTTTAATGTGAAGCTTGATCGTTGCTTAAATTATATATATATGCTTTCAATTTTTCTAGTGAGATTTCAAATTTTGACAATTATTACATTGTTATTAGGAAATAAAAATACATTTTCTATTTTTCAATTAAAGGTGAATGGCTTTTGTTGATGTTCAGGAGTTGATAACCTGTTGATTGTTGCTTCTTTCTATTTTTATTGTGCATCCCATCCTAAGTATTAACAACCTTAAACCTCAAGACACCTATATCAGTTAGACTAGCAAGTAGATGGTGCAATATCAGTGAGATAAACGGATGAGTTTGTTTGGTAAATCAAACATAACAATACAACTTTTTTCAAAGGACAATTCACACCAAGTGCCAAAAGAAGTTTTGTACGTACAAGTAGAAAAACTTCAATTATCTCAATACTCAGTATCAAGTTTCCACGTTATAGATGTCTAAAAAGATAGTTTGCTTCAGACTAGTTAGATATTAGGAAGTTCTGCATGCCACCATAGGGAATCAGAAAGCAAGCATTTCAAAACAATGTCCTTGGCTTTTTGGAGGAAATGACACGTGAGATATCTCATGTACAAAAACAAAAGGAGACATGCATAATATTTCCCAAGGAATAGTGGCAATTCAGATATTGTTCCAAAGGTATACCTTGTCCAGGTCACTTGCACTGCTCACAATTTGCTTTGCCGATGCAAGGAAGGAAAATCTGTCATCTAGCAAATTCATAGCTCTGTTGAACTCATTCATATACTGCATTTATTATAAACAAGTCAAATAATACAAGTGAAGAGCATGTGCTAAATATAAACAAAAATAGGACCTACATGAGATAGAAATTTGAATATACTAAAAAGTATAATATATTTTATTGTGATGCGCTTCATGTGCAGGAGGATCATATTCAGTGGGTGAATTAGAAATTAAGCTGTTCTCAACAGGAACGGATGATATAATATTTTTCAAAGATCAAATCAAATAGTTGGGATAATATTAAGATAATGATAGATGTGATGACAGATAGGAGGATACCAGAAGTGCTAGTAGCAAACTAAGAACATGACCAAATTTCAATGCCGAGCCACGAAAAGAACATGCCACACTTTAACAAGAATCTAGTGTATACTTAATGAGTGCCGGAGAGTTAGCCTCTAAACCCACCATAGATGTTTGCACGATTTGCAAGGAACTTGAAACTCAATCAAATTATCATAATTATATAGCAACAAGAAAATAAATAAATATTATTTCCACAACTGTGCGGTTGTTAAATAATTCATCAAATGTGGCAGCAAGTCTGCTGCTGGTATGGAATGCACCATGTGCAAATTAGTTAAATGGTGCGTTTGTATCCTGAGACAAACATGAACTTGACTTTAGAGGAAAGAAATGCAAGTACAAACCTTATAACGCAGATGATCTTTATCAACAAGACTCCATTGCCGTCGGCACTTGTCATAACTCCAACTGTTGCCTTCTCTTGGAAAATCAATCCATTCCGGGTGCCCAAACTGTATAGGTTAAGAAAAAATACTTACGAGAATCCTAATTTGATCATTCAATAAAGTAAAAACACGTTTAAAATTAATAGAAAAAAATAGAATCCTGGACCAACAGATTTCAATGTGGTACCATGGCTTTAAAGCATCTAAACATTTCAACACAAAGTCAAACAAAGCTATAACAAAATGAATATGAAATTATGAATAGCTTCTAGTGTTATAAACTGGCAAGGAAATAACCTTTAATATGAGCAAAAATATCAAGCCTACACTTGACATAAATATTGAGCGACTAAATAGCCCAAGTAAATTAGTTTTAGTGGATTTTTTTTTTGGTAATTTTAAATTTCAATTATTTTGAAACATCTATGATGAATTCCTATGAGAACGGATGTGTCATCATTCTTTATGATTGTTCCTAATCTGGGCATCACTTCTTGTGTGGTTCAATTCAATTCAATTTTATTGACTTTTTTGTTAAGAGTTTTCCTTCAGATAAGTGCAATTCAAAATCAGTATGTGTTGTTGAAGGGATTCAAATTATGACTCATTTGTTGTATCTCTCAGCAACCCAATTGTGCACTTTTTTGGCACTTAAGCATAGCTTTCCTATAGTAGATAATGATAAATATCTAACAATTGCTGGTTTTCTAAAGGAGGCGGGTTCAATTCTATGGTTCCTGTAGAAGGTTCACACCATATTTCCTAAAATGGTGCACACTCTCTTCTACTTCAACCTTCATACATTTTTTAGGATAGGATGGTCTTTGCCAAAATCTGTAACTGCACTTGCAGCCGCTTATTCCTATCCACGTCCATATGTACATTGCAGTAGATGTTGAACCTATCCACTACGAGAGGAAGCCAACTTTGAAATATTAGGGGATTATAAATACCAGTATTAAATGAATGTAAAAATCTTTTGTTTCAATAAAATTTCATATTTCTATTTTCAATCTTGTGTGCACCTATTTGAAGTGGGAGTCTTCCAGTGTGATGCGAGTGCTATAAACAACTTCAGTTCAAGTTGAATTACCTTCATTTTGGTGATTTCATAACAGGATCTTTTTTCTTAAACATTTTGTTATTTGTGTTGCAAGAGTCCTTATTTTGGTCAAATCTGCTATAACCATGATTTTAATAGCAATGTAATTTACAATTACATGCTTTTTTTTGTTTGAATTTCTCATAAATTTCTTCAGATTAATCAATCACAGCATTATTGTTTGGCTCGAACTTTCACATATTTTGAGTTTACACTTTACACCCCAAAGAAAGCAAAAATTTATGTAACAAGGAACCTTCGATCCATGAAATATACATTTTTACACGATCTACATTCACTATATCATACTAATTGCATCAGAAAACATAGACCCTTAAGCATTCATCATCAATTGAGGCAGTCAGATTCTATGCTTTCATTTAGTAATGCTTTTACTTCAACTTTAACTTTAAAAAACCTAGTGTATCAAAATTTTCATTTGTGTGGGAAATGCACAATTCAAACTCACATCCTACCTGTGGACCTCTTTCATGGTTTCCTGATCTTAGGCTACACACATATGGAGCATCTCATCCATCTATGTGGCAATAAGGATCACAGAAATTGTATTACACAGGACAACATAATAACACAACAGTAGCAAATGAAACCATATCCCTACTGCATTGCGTCCCAAGTATTATACCCATCTGATAAAGGCATGAAATTCACAGCCATTTTATGAGAACTCTTTTGATAAGAATTTTTACTTCACTTTGTTTTAACGGTGCATTCAACCTCAAATAAAGGAACAAACCAAAATTTTGAATTAAACACTAGGCTACCTTTTGTGATGCCTGCTGAAGGAAAAACTTAAGCGAAGGATTTGGACTTCAGAACAAACTGAGTTTGCTACTCTTATTTGGCCAACAGATCTATAATTGGAGAAGATTATTTATCCAAATCACAGATTTGAGCCACGGGTTTTCCTATTTATAGTTCACCTTTAAAAAAGGGACGTAAGCTCGACAAGCATAAAGAGATCAAACTTTGAAGTTGGTAATGATATGAAGAAATTCCTAAAAAAATATATTTGATGCTGGAGCTTATTATAAGTTTCCTGACAAAAAATCTGATCGAATGAAGTCAAAGGGAAGATTAATTGCAATGCATAGGGTATTAAGCTGTCAATTGTTTTTGACAATCTTGGCAAAAAGATCAGAGAGCGCCAAAAAATCCTATGACAAGTTCAAACATTAGGAGGGGACTACTGTGATCAAACAAGCTTTAGAGTTGTTGGAGAAACAATAAAGCATGTGATCTCAAGAGGAATCATGGGAAGTATTGATTTGCATCATCAGCAAATAGTTTTCATCATCTCAATTTGTGTGCCAACATGCTTAGCTGTCAAGATCAAACCGAGGCAATCAAGTCTAGGCCTCGGAGGAATATTTTCTAGATCAACCATACACAAATTAAATTTTACTCGTTTGTCAGTTCAAATATCAACAAGTAATGTCAAAGTCTATGCAGGTCTCTGATCCCTATGATTGGTTCTGTTAGAATAAATCACAATTAGAGGAGTTCCTAAAATCATTGAAGCTCCCTCCATTACAATTCAAGTAATAAGCTGAAGACACTTAAGTCCCCAATGACGGGCAAGGTAATTAGAAGAATATAATCAAAAGGTCAACATACATGTGATTCTCAAATGCCCAAAATGTGAAGCTTTAAGAGGATCAAACTCTCTAACCAACTTCAAAGGCCATGAAGAAGTATTTTGAAGCTTGCAAAGCTTCGACAGCCAAATTGAAAATGTAAAAGATTGGTTAGTTCACCAGCATAGGGCTGAGAGAGATAACAACGGTCAAGCCTTCAGAGTTGTTGCTAGATCTATGATGTTTTCCAAAAAAACGTTCCGCAAAATAATTTGGGCTAAAGTTGTCCTCACAACAACATCTCATAAATAGAATAACCTCTCAAATATTAAAATATAAAATTGCATACCAAGTTTGCATCAATCATATCTAAGACTAATCTTATCTCCACCATTCCTATGAGAGCATGAGAGTTTTTGGAAGTTCAATCTTTATTCTTGTGCACTAACAAAAATGCAGCAAGCTGTTAGGCCGGCACTTGAGCCGGCTGGACCGGTCCAAACCGGACCGGTCCACACCTACTCGAGGCGAAAACCAGCAGGGCGGGCGGAACCGAGCGGAGCGAGCTCATCTGACGGGGGCCAAGGAGGAATTTTGGGAGGGAAATTTTGAATGCGAGGGGCTGTTTAGACATTTTGTAAAACTCCTTTATAGTTAATTAGGAGGTGAGGAGGAAAAGGGGAGATTATCTTGCATTGGAAGTTTTTTTGGGGAGATCTAGGGTTTGTGTTCTTGGGCTCTAGGCTACGGCTAGAGATTTGGAGAGTCATTCCTTCCTCTCGGATTGAAGGAAATTGTATCTTTGTTTGCGTTCTCGAATCTACTAGTGAAATACATTATTTTTCTCTATTTTCCTTGAGTTTTCTCCACTAAAACTGCTGCGATTTGCAGTTTTCCTGCTGAAAACAGCAGTTTTCTCTTGTTTTTGTATTGATTTTGATTAGGTTTACTTGCGAACCCAAGTATTTCCTATCAAATTGGTATCAGAGCAAGATCCGGGCGGTGGAGGGCTGTTTTCCCCATTGTTTCGCTGCAGTTTTTGCTGATTTTTTGGAGGATCCGGAGACATCTCGTCGTTTCCCATGGCATCTAAGCGAGTAGAAGTCTTGGAGACCGAGATGGGTCAACTTAAGGCGGATCTGGAGGAGAAGATGGCCACATTTAGCGAGAATGTGGAAGGAAAATTCATGGCCTTGGAGGAGATGATGAAGAAGTTGTTGGAAGGGCAAGCAAGGGCTGTGCC